GTTAGGGAAAACAAACAATAAGCACATCTCTTTCAGGTCAAAATAAATTGAATTGGTTTCTATTATGATCCGATTTGTTTTAACCTAAGATAATTACTCCCTTTTCCTTAGAAAAATTGTAGCTTTAGAATCGATACATAGTTGTAATCATAGTTCATACACAATTGTTTTATGGGGTACATCTTAAGAACCAAAACTATCTAATATGCTAAGATGAAAATATGGATCAAAGTTAGATGGATGTGAATCTCATATAGATGTTAAGATTCCAAATTTATCATGCTTGTATAACGTGTACATATACATTACATGGTTTCATTTAAGTTGTTGCATCATTCAAGCATCAAAGGGTATTGTTAATCATTATTATATCACAGCTTTTAGCAAGTAGCATCTGAAATAAAATCTACAAATATAACAGAAGTAAAAAACTTACAGTCACGAAAACCATATCTGAACCATAAACAGCTTCTTCAATGGATTCTCTACTTTCTTTAGCAGCATTCATACCCAACATCAGGATTACCACCAGCACCAAGTCCACGAGTCACTCTTCACCATCTGCAACCGTTGCTCAGGGAAACAGGTGACATTCTCATGGCTTGAACATCAGTATTCACAATCCAAAACTCAACACCCCTTCATTTCACTTTCAATCATACGATTAACTGCATTTGATCCACCACACCAACACCAATTACTTTAATCTTAGCCTCATTGTAAGTACCTGGACTTGTTGAAAAAATCTCCTCAAAATCTCAGTAAACGTTTCCACCCAACTGCTATCCTTAATCACTGTGTTGTTTCCCTCGCCTCTAAGCATGGAAACCTCTGGATGCAAATTCAGAAACTGATCTTGTTGTTTGAACTGATTGATATTGTGAGAGTTTGCCAAACATCGAATTTGGGGGACATGAGCGATCTTGTGGGAAGTATTTGGAAACGCATGTTTGTCATCAATCATCTTCAAGGAACTTGCTCTCCCTCCAAAAACAGTTAGTACCCCCATTGAGTTTCGAGCTTCTAAAGGGATTAATGATGGTGGAATACATGTTGTCATTATAGGGTTCCTTGCGTACAAATACCTGGTTTTTAAGCAACAAAAAGATGGTTTACTTGCGAAATCAGTGAAAATTGAATCTATGGTTGTACAAACTAGATTAATACGACCAGGGTAAAATGCAGCACGATTGATTGTAATGCAAATTGAATTGAAAAACAGCAAATTCGATAACTTAAAGCTCAGATAACAGCGTAAGCGCAGAGATAAGAACCCTAAACATAAATAATTTCAGCAAGACATAAAACACAGTAGAAAACCCAAAATGCGAATTGGGTGTATGCATATGAGAAAGAAACACCAAAAGGCAATAGGGTATGTACGAAAATGTGTCTAAATTGAGAGAATGAAAGTCGAAAACCTGTGATAGCTGCGGTGGAGCAAGAACAAAGCGGCGGCAAAGTTGGGAGAGTATGTTGCAGAAGAGAAGGGCTAAAAACGAAGCGGGTGTTAAACGTTAATCTTGAAGTTGTCGTCTTTACTCGCTTCAGTTTGTTAATTGTAATGTAAATTTGAGAGTTGCTTGATGAAAAATCTTCAAAAGTGAAAAAGAAACAACATTTCTCACATGATATCCTTATCGCCGAAGCCTTTCATTGGTTGGCTACCTACATTTCTTCTCTTTACCAAAATCGACATCGAATTTTGTTTTATTTTGTTTCTTAATTTCGTAATATTGCTCCTATTTCATGGCTCATGATTGTAAAGAACATATATTTTTCGGTTTTTGTTTTTTAATCATGATTTTAACATTTTCAATTATTTTAATACTAAAGTTTAACATAAATAAATTATTTGTTATCAAAAACTCAATTTCTTGGTATTATATCCATCTCCTACAATTATTTGAAACTAAGAAAATGATGACACAATGTGTATTGTATTGTAGCTACCTTTGTCTTTTAGATGTGTAGATATTTTTTATAAAAATTATGGTATTTTACAAACATATACTCAATCAAACATGTCAAATATTTGGTCTTATCTTTTTAGTAAAATCATCAAATTTTTATTAGACTATACAGTATCCCTTCAACACGCAGGATGTGATGCTAATTTGGCACCTCACCAAGGCATGTACACCAACGCGCCTCCAACATAGTGATGAGGTGGAGCCATGGTGTGTGGTGAGTCGTGGCCTCAATCATATTCAATGACGCCCCTTTCTCCACTTCTTCACAATGTACCCATAAAAACACAACCCCCATCTTGTGTGGTGGTGTTGTGATGGTGATATGGAAGGAGAAACATGCCCTGGCACATGACATGCATACCCGATAGCTTTAACAAAAAAAGTAGATGGTATATACTTATATGGTACATATCATGGACTACAATACATGGATCATAGTTTGTGAATAATACAAAATGAAGAAACATCTTGCACATCTTTAATAATAACTTTTTTTTATCTTGGCTTAGTACATATAAAACGTCTAATAACATAGTTGTTTCTCTATAACATTAGTTGTCAATGGTTGTTGTAAATACAGATGAAAACATAATCAACTATATAATAAACTATCAAGTAGAACACTAAAATTCAGATGGAAAACCTTGTGAGAAAAATCACTGGGTGTATGAAAAGAATATATTAAAATCGATAATGGAGAAAGAAAGAGAGTGCAAGCTTAGCGTGAGAGTATTTGGAATGAATAAAATAGAAAAACTAGACATATATCAATAAGCTATTAACTAGAGTCCTAATACAAACCAGTGTGAAAACTAATAAGTTTCTTTATCCTAATATAATTTATAAAAAAATTTCACCAATGTACTTTTGAAAAGTTTTTGAGAAAAAGAAAAAAATATGTTAATGTAAGATTGTTTAAGCATTTTGATGAATGATCAGCGATTTTGTAAACATACATAGTAAGAAAATGAGTAGAAAGAGTATTTATGGTGTGGTGGTAGAGTGGTTGGATGTTCAAGATCTTGCAAACTTGGTTGGTTGTAATCATGGGAAGCTTCTTTTTACTTGTCTAGGTCTTCTATTTGGGTCTAATATAGGTAAAAAAAAAGTAGTTGGGAAACAGTGTTTGATAAATTTAAGGCTCGACTGTTGATGCAACTCATATTTTATGGCTCTTTTGGGTGGTTCGACCTTCGGTACCTTAGTGAGAGTCAACGTTTCGAACCTGAAATGCACCACAAATCGCTAGGCATTCACTGGGATAGGACCCCAGGAGAACGCTCTAATGATTAAATTAGTTAACGATTCGATGAATCCTCCCTAACGTACGAAAAATGTATTTTTATCGCATACTTGTGTCGTTTATCGTTTATTGATCTTTTATACTTCGCTTATCGGAAAGTGTTCTTATTAGCTGGACCGAGCAGGCCCCGCCTAATCGTTATTAATGCTTACTTTGCCGAAGGTACAAAAGGTTGTACCTAGAGAGGTCAACAGTTACTTTCGATATAACAAGTGTACTGTTACGATTTCCAACAGACATTTACAGCATGTTCGTGAAAAAATCAAGGTTTTATCCCTCTGGACCTTGCCCACTAGTACTCATGACCGATTTCACTTTTGGATGGTTCAAAATCTTTCTTCTTCGGCTCGGCGTAGAATTTACACGAGGGTAAGTTCATCCGGCCTAAAAGGCATATTAGTGATTCGGTAAGGCTGAGCCAGATGGAGGTTATATAGTATATACCTCGTTAAGTTCCCCTAGTTCAAATTATTAATAGTAATGATTCGAATTAGCCTTTATCTCCCAACCTTCCAAAAGTAGATAAGTCTGAACATGACATAAATGTTGATGTGACGTTTTGTAACCCTATTTCTCATCATTACTCTATTACTCGTAATTGTCATTTTTAAAATTTTGTCCTTATAAATAGGGAGAAGTTAACCTAAAAACCTCCCACTCGCTTTCTTTTGACATTTCCGCCATTGTTTTCTTCTTTGAATCCCATTATTCTTGTTATGTCGTGTATCTGCAAATGGCGAAAGATAATAGGAACATTCATAACATACTATCTTCCCTTACCCCAAAAAAGTTATACGACGTTGTTAAGCTCTATCGGATCAATCTTCAATAACGACCACAACTTCCCTTTGTCTCTCAATCAATCACTAATCCCCCTCTAGGTTTTGTAAGGGTATATTAGCAATTCTTTAAGGCTAGTAAGAGGTTGCATGTCTTCGACTTTTTAAGAGTAACCCACGATTACTATGATCTTCACATTACTCAAATCACCCCTAATAGCTTCCACAAGATTATGTGTTTTTTTATGCTTTGAAAAACCCTTAGTGTCGTTCCTACTCTTCATATGTTTTGTCATTTCTATGTGATGATGGTCAGCAATGATTGGATCTATTTCTCTCTCCGTAATGGCTTGGTCGACATCTGCGACGGGCTAGCCACTTTTATTAAGAAATGGAAGCATGAGTTTTTCTTCGTAGATGCTACTGTGTTTACTGGATCGATGTGTTTTGGGGGAATTACATATCGAGTCTCTGAACCTTCCCCTAATCTTAGTACCGAGGAGCAGATTATTGTTGATAGACTAACTACGAACTTTGTCAAGTGGGCCGGTCCTGATGACGAGATGCTCGAGATGGCAGGGTTGGGTTACGTCAGGGTATAAACGAGGAGAGAAGCACTCTTAATCCTCAGGATAAGAATGCTACTCTTCTAGAGAGATTTCATCAAAAATGAATTATCGGGACTTTGAAATCCTCCGTGGGACCCACCACTAAATCCCCCGGCTCTTCTGGTGCAGAGATTAATATGGAGATAGAGTCAAGCATCGATTCCACCTTGGTTACTGATTCTAGCAGTTCTCCTCCGATCTTTCCTTCTAAGGGTAGTAAAAAGAACATTAAGTTTGAGGGTTAGTGTAACAACGTAAATTTCCAAAACAATTTTTTCATTTTAAAAACATACTCTCATTCATAAAATATCATAGTAATCCAATGTAACACATGTTATCTCAATAAAAAAATCCCAAGATCCTCAAATACATAAATCCTCTCAGTGTGTATGGATCATGTCGGCACCTTCCCGCGATCCTCGCTAGTACCTGAAACACATAACACAACAACTGTAAGCATAAATGCTTAGTGAGTTCCCCAAGATACCACATACAACACATACGCCTTTCCAGGCCATAACTCTGTAGGATCTTCCGATCCATGTGTCTCAGGGGACTTCCGTCCCGAATCCCGGTAGACCTTCAGGTCCTACCCGTATCGACCTTCCGGTCCGTAACCACTTGACCTTCCGGTCCATATCATCTTGACCTTCCGGTCCATATCATCTTGACCTTCCGGCCTTATCGTACATAACCTACATAACACATACATATCACATAACAACATACAGCTCAGACATCTCATAGCATATAAGACCTTCCGGTCACACATAGGTACCCTTCCAGGTACAGTATAGTGAGAAGACTCACCTCAATGAAGTCGGATAAACTTTCGTGCTCAACGTCCCGACTTAGCCTCCTCCTATTATTCAAATAAAATCCCCGATCAATATTCTCTCGTGATCTCATCTCTACAGATTGGGTAGAAGGCCATTCTACCCTTCCCTGAACTCTAACTCTTGAATCAGTCTTGACCAGAACCCTAAGGTCAACGAAAGTCAACGGTCAAACTTTGACCCGACTCGTCGAGTGCACAAGGGCGACTCGGCGAGTCCATGCGGGTCCTCTGAATCCTTTCAGCCTCTCTTGGCTCGTCGAGTCATCCTTCCACTCGACGGGTTACACCTGTCACGAATCGAGGGCAACCCCGACTCTACTCGTCGAGTCCACTTATGGACTCGGCGAGTTTTGCTCCCAATAACAACTCTCAAATGACCTTCTGAGGTCATATCTGCTTCTCTAAACTATAGATCTGGCCTTCAAGTGCTCAAAGGTCACGTAAAGGTGCAACCTTTACGTGCATGGCAACCCACATCATGTCATAAATGGAGAAATAACTCTAAAAAGGGCAACCTAGTCTCCAATCCTCCATGAACAAGCATAAAGCAGAATGGGAAAGGTTCTCTGGACCTCTATGGGTCCAGATCTGAGATCTAACCCAGCAAGGGACCATAACCTCAACCTTTCAAGCCTAAAAAGGTTAATAGAAAACCCTAAATCATAGATCTTAACCAAAACAGAAGGGAATTTCGATTTGATACCTCAATAGTGTAGATCTGAACTTGAAAACCCTGGATCCACAGCTCCCTTGACCTCCTCTTGTTGGAAACTACTTCTCTTTTGCTAAAACACACAAGAAATGGTGAATTAGCCTTCCTCTTGCACCACAAACGTTCTCTTTCTCTCTCTAGGGTTTCTCAGGGGTGAAGTGGCCGCAATGGAGGCTATAAAGGCCTTTAAATAGGGCACAGGCCCCGAGAATTAGGGTTTCACTTAACAGCGCGGACTCGCCGAGTCCACGCATCGACTCGTCGAGTCCTTCATTAAATCAGACCAGAAATGCGCGATCCCACTCGACGAGTCTGAGCGCCTACTCGCCGAGTCCTCTCTCTACTCTAAAATTCAATATAAATACTTAAAATAAGATACCTGGGAATCCGGATGTTACAATTCTCCCCCACTAGAATCAGACTTCGCCCTCGAAGTCCTGCTCGGCAAACAACTCTGGATGCTGCTCCCGCATCTCCAACTCCGGCTCCCAGGTCAGTTCGGACCCTTTCCGATGTTGCCACTGGACCTACACCAGGGACACTTCCTTATTCCTCAGAACCTTGATCTTCCGATCCCGGATCGCGATTGGTCTCTCAGCATAATTCAGGCTCGCATCCACCTGAATATCCTCCAACGGTACCACCGCCGATTCGTCGGTATCACACTTCCTCAACTGAGACACGTGAAAGGTATCATGAATCTGTCTCAGCTCCTCAGGTAGCTCCAACCGATAAGCTACCCTGCCCACCCTCGCGGTCACCCTAAATGGCCCGATATACCGGGGGCCCAGCTTGCCCCTCTTCCTGCATCGGATCACTCCTTTCCAAGGAGACACTTTCAGGAGTACGAAGTCTCCCACTTGGAACTCAAGCTCGGATCGTCGCCTATCCGCATAACTCTTCTGACGACTCTGAGCCGTCAATAACCTCTGTCTAACCTGATGTATCTGCTCTGTCGTCTGAAGCACTATCTCAGTGTTACCCATCACACGCTGTCCTACCTCTCCCCAGCAAATGGGAGTCTGACACCTCCTACCATACAACAACTCGAAGGGAGGCATACCAATACTCGAATGGTGGTTGTTGTTGTAGGAAAACTCAGCCAACGGCAAGTATGTGTCCCAACTTCCTTCGAAGTCCAACACACATGCTCGAAGCATGTCCTCGAGTGTCTGAATCGTCCGCTCACTCTATCCGTCCGTCTGGGGGTGGTAGGCGGTACTGAAATGCAACCTCGTACCCAACTCCTCGTGGAACTTCTTCCAGAACCTGGAAGTGAAACGTACATCTCGATCTGACACAATCGAGATCGGTACTCCATGACACGATACCACCTCCCTCACATACAACTCTGCCAACCTCTCAGTAGAAGAGCTCTCACTGATAGCAAGAAAATGCACGCTCTTCGTCAGCCGGTCGACGATCACCCAAATTGCATCGACACCCCTCGCGGTCCTCGGCAATTTGGTGATGAAATCCATGGAAATCTGTTCCCACTTCCACTGGGGAACCTCAAGCGGCTGCAACTTGCCATGCGGACGCTGGTGCTCGGCCTTAACCTTGCGACAGGTCAAGCACCTCTCGACAAACCACGCGACATCCCTTTTCATACAGGGCCACCAATAATCTTTCTTCAAGTCCAAATACATCTTAGTGGCCCCGGGATGGATCAAGAACCTCGATCTATACGCCTCCTCCATCAGAATGGTACGTGCCCCGCCTGCATACGGCACCCAAATCCGACCTTGAAAGGTCATCAGCCCTCGACTACCGGTAACGAACTCGGCCACATGCCCGATCACCTGCTCCCTCTTGCGGTTCTCCGGTATCACGGCCTCTGCCTGGGCCTCCCGAATGGTGTCCAACACCGGAGTCATCACTGTCAGTCGCATGCAAATGTCTCGAATCGGGGCACTCTCCGCCCTACGGCTCAGGGCGTCAGCTACGACATTAGCTTTTCCCGGGTGGTACAGGATCTCACAATCGTAATCCTTTACCACGTCCAACCATCTCCTCTGGCGCATATTCAGATTGGGCTGATCCATCAAATACTTCAAGCTCTTGTGGTCCGTGTATATGGTACACCGAACCCCATATAAATAATGACGCCATATCTTGAGGGCAAACACCTCGTCTCATGAGGCTTCAGCTGCCTCGATGCATACGCTATCACATGCCCTCTCTGCATAAGCACCGCACCCAACCCTGATATCGATGCGTCACAATACACCACAAAATCCTACATCCCTTCTGGGAGGGCTAACACAGGGGCTTCGCATAACTTCTGGCGAAGTGTCTCAAACGAGGTCTGCTGCTCCGGACCCCATGAAAAAGCAACACCCTTCCGGGTCAACCTGGTGAGAGGCACGACGATCTTGGAGAAATCTCTGATAAATCTCCGATAGTAACCGACCAATCCTAGGAAACTCCTGATCTCGATGGGAGATCTCGGCACCTCCCAACTCATCACTGCCTCAATCTTGGCCGGATCGACCAAAATCCCATCCTGGTTGACGAGATGCCCCAAGAACTGGACCTCCCGTAACCAGAACTCGCACTTGGAGAATTTGGCATAAAGCCTCTCCATCCTCAATACCCCGAGGATCTCTCTCAGATGCTCCTCGTGCTGCTCTCTAGATCTCGAATACACCAATATATCGTCGATGAACACGATCACCGAACGATCCAACATCGGTCTACACACCCTGTTCATGAGATCCATGAACGCTGCTGGTGCATTGGTGAGCCCGAAAGGCATCACCACGAACTCGTAATGCCCATAACGAGTCCTGAACGCCGTCTTCTAGATATCCTCATCGCGCACTCTCATCTGATGATATCCAGACCTCATATCAATCTTGGAGAACCAAGACGCTCCCTGCAACTGATCGAACAAATAGTCGATCCTCGGTAATGGGTAACGGTTCTTGACCGTCAACTTGTTCAATTCCCGGTAATCAATACACATCCGGTGTGAACCATCCTTTTTCTTGACAAAAAGGATCGGTGCTCCCCAAGGGGAACTACTCGGTCTAATAAACCCCTTCCCCAACAGCTCCTGAAGCTGCGAGGATAACTCCTGCATCTCTGGCGGCGCAAGGCGATAAGGCGCCTTGGCGATAGGCGCTGCCCCCGGAACCAAATCGATGCGGAACTCTACCTGCCTCTCGGGAGGCACACCCGGCAACTCCTCGGGAAAAACATCCGGGAACTCACGCACTATCGGAACGTCATCCATCGAACTTAGCCTCCCAGCGGCCTCTCGTGCGTCCATCACATAGGCTACAAACCCGTTGCAGCCCTGCTGTAAACTCTGTCTCGCTCTCGCAGCCGAACAAATCGCCGATCCACATCGGGTACCCTCGCCGTACACCGTAAGTACTCCCCCACTAGGGTCTCGTATCGTCACCAACTGTCGCTCACAGTCTATAACAGCCCCAAATC